ACTATGTCAGTACCTTTGAGTTATATATATTTAGATTATATGTACAGTACCTAATTTATATATAATGCTGTACAGACGATAGCAAACTCAATTTAGCCGCCTAAACTCTCCGTAGCATGTTGCTGGGCAGCGGAAAGTAGTTCGGCTGCTAGTCCACTATTGGTCCAGATTCGACCAATCCTGTCGCGACACGAGTCGGCGACGACATTTTACAAGTCACTTTATACAAATACTGATACAATTTTTTCGCTACGTTATAGGAATTTCCGTTATAGGAACCCATGTTATAGGGAGGTCGACTGTAATATATTTAAGAATATACTACCATACAGTCTTAAGTAATAACTTGGAGTTGCTGTGAGAAAATCAACCAAAACAGATTAAAGTGATTTTACATACAACAGAAGTAATATGTTGTTTGTTCCTGGCAGAATATAGCATTTTCTGGAAGTGTCATTTGTGAGTAATGTATCCTTCAAGATATGTTTTCTGTTGTTTTTAGTGTTTATGACCTGATCTTGAATGGCAACAATAAACCCTTCAGTCTCTCCAAACAGTCAGTAATTTGACTGTTTTATTAACTGGTATTTTTGAAACCATGTCAGTAATTTATTTCAATTCAAACACATTATTTATCGTATTCATACAGACACTTGGCAAATCACAGAATTAAATTTTATTCAGTTGATGTTTCACTATTGAGTTTTATTAACATAGTCCTGAGCTAGGTCGTAGGCATAGCTGCCATGAAGTACTTTTTGGGCCCATGACATTAGTGGTGTCTATGTTATTTGTGTTGAGCTATGCCCAGGTGCTATAAATTTAACAGTGTGTGGTACTGCCTGCCATACTTATAGTTTTATGTAATCATGATGTTTCTCGTTTTTGTGAAAACTACCGCATTATCAGAATTTGTTTGTAGTGCAGGTTAACTATTAGTCAGGCCATGGACACCTTTACGAGGAAGAGTTAATCTTTCTACAAATGATTTCAGATTATATTATCTATGCTTAGTAAGTGTTGTTCTTGTTTTCCTTCAGAAAACAAGAACAACACTTACTAAGCATAAACAAGTTGCTTGAGATCTGTGCTTGTCCAGTGTATAACTCCACAAGAATGAGAGTACAGAAACAACATGTGTATTAATAGCTTTAATAGTTGTTTTGCATTTAGGTGTGTTCTTAGTACTGCATGTAATCTGTTCTGATATTTGAGTGTTAATCTTTGTTTTATCTGTGCATGTTCTGTAAGTTTGGCCTGTTATAATCTTAAATACTTGTAAAACCCACCCTCTTCTGTGGATACAATATCATTTCCACTTCTGAGTACAAAGTCGCCTTTCATCAGAACTCTTTTTTTCAATGTGGAGTGTTGTGTGTGTGTGTGTGTGTGTGTGTGTGTGTGTGTGTGTGTAGTTTATAAGAGATGAGGAAGCTGATGTGTGGATGCATAAAGTTTGATATTGTCCATGTACAGGGTATAAAGGTATAATAATGTAAACAGTGTTGTTTTGTTGTGTCAGATATTGTAACCATAATTAACTTAATTATTATTAATCAAAGTAACTGATTATTTAACTAATATTAATATTTCTGAAGTAATTTTATTAATAAAAAAACCAACTACACTTTTATACAATCAGCACACATTACTTTAATTGACAGAAGTAAACATTTTCAACCTTTTTTAAGATCATCTTCAGACTAAATTAGAGCATTGTTTAAATGCAATGGAATATTAATGCATTAAATCAACCAATAGCAATGCTACACATTCTTTGGATGTACATATTCATAACATTTGATGTTCAATATTCCATTTTTTTAAACGATATTTTAAATAATAAATATGTTTCTACATATTATTAAAAAACTGAATTTAGATATACTTAAAAGGTTGAGAAACACTGGCTTAAAGTCTAAGGACCAGTAAAATGTCTGTAAATATTCTATGGACCACCAACTTATATAGTCCTAACTTTTTTAACGTATGTGGATATTACCAATATTTGGAACATACTATTCCATTTATAACATAAAAAATCTAAAAACATGTTTTGAACACATGTGAAAACAATTTAAATTGAAAGTAAACTATTACAATTGAATCATCATTGAACAAAGTTTTAATTTAAGTCTGCCTGTGTACTACCTGTCCCGTCACTGCAAACCACAAGTTGAGCAACATTGTCTCAAGATATTGCTTGTTTATGAACCAAATATAAACAAAATACTGTCAGTTTTACTGATTACTTGTATAATTCCAAATTTTATAAATTATTTTAACTCACTAGATGGCAGAGTTATTAATCTCTAATAAAATTTAATTAGAAATAATTCTTAAAATTTGTGCAACAACAACCAGTTAAACTAGCAATATTTAACTTACATTTAATTTAATTTGCATTATTAAAATATACTTACATATATATATAAAAACCTGACTTACTCTGGCATCATATACCCTTTTTAATGCTTCATATCTTATAGAACCAAGAAATATAACACCTTGCAATGTACCTTCCCTATCTGTAGCTAGAAGTTCAACACAAACTATTTCACCATCCCGTACTACAATATCCTGGAAAACCTGAAAAATTGAGTTATTTAAACTTAATGCAAATTTTAAATATATAAAAATTTATACTTATTAAGAGAACAAGAACAGATTTAATTTTTATTTAATTCAATTTTAAATTTGTATAATTACATTCTTCATAATTTCACGATGTATTAATTTAATATCATTTTAAATTTCATGTGATCTCATTCTAAATGTTATTTTTAAAATTTTAAAGTTTTATGTAATTTTTAGTGATGCCACAAATAAAGATTTTGCCGAATACTGAATACTCGGCTACGCTCTCGGCCGAAGCGCCAAATGTTCGGCAAAATATGTGTACATTTCGCAGGTAACAAGTTATGACCTACCTCATTGCGGTGGGTGCAGTAGCAACACTGCAGGCGCATTTATTTTATTTGAAAGCAGATCGTATTACGACATGCATTATTTGTTCATTGTTACATCAAATTGTGTTACTAATAGTCCTTATTACTAAAAAAATATCATTGTTTTGTATCACTTTATATGAAAACTGTTCGCCTACATCAGACGGCAGACCTTTACAAGTGGTGGTCAGCAAATGCAAAATAGTGCCAAAACCTGACAGAATTCACTAATATTTATCTATCGTCTCCCAGCAGTAGTGTATATAGTGAGAGGCTATTTTCAGAAGCATATATAGTTTATGAGGAAAAGCGCAATCGTTTGCTATCAACAAATGCTGAAAAAATTGTTTTCATTCATCACAACTTACCACTGATAGATTTTAAGTATTAAATGTAATAATTTGTGATTAAAATAAATACATTTTTGAGTAATATGTGCGTTTTTTTTCCCTGATTTGGNTCCAATCAAACATTAAGAGTAATATAATGTCTTTGTAAAATTACAAACACCAAATCTAATTATAAACATATTATGCATATAAAAACTCCATTACCCACCTCATCATAATTATCTACCATGAAAAATATATTAGGATAACTTATTTCTTCCATTTCACCTTTGCAATCCATACTTCTTCTACTAGGTGAAGCATATACTCTCTGCAATTAATTTATCTTGATTACTATTTATTAATATTTTTCCATTATTTAAGTCTACAATAATCAATTACCTGAGAATGTCGTTTCAAAATTTGCAAATCTTTTGAACTTGTTCTGGTACAAATAGCACAAGTTAATGTATATTCCAGCTTTAAAAAAAAGATAAACTATTATAATATACATTTGAAAATACTCAAATTTTTCAGTAATCACTGTTTTTTAATTATACTTTCTTTTGTACCTTCAGAATTATATTTGAACTTTAATTTTTTAAATTTTACAAATGCATATAATATTTTTAAAAATTGTCTGTTATTATTTATAACAATTTTTTCATTTAAAATTTCTTTATATCCTATACAACTATATATCCTTAAAAATGACAGAAAATACATTTGAAATATTATAATAAAAAATTATAGTTCATATACTTGATAAACTAATAATATTTATTCTTGCTGGAAATTAGTTTAACATGTATTTGTTTAATTACTCTGACAAAATCAATCATTTTCTAGTAATATTTATTTGGTTGAAGATAGTTTTAACATTCAGTAAAACAAAATGTCTTTAATTCCATATTGATAGATATATATAAATAATTATATCTAGCATTTTGAACTTTCAATATATATTATTTCTGCAGACAGTGAAGAAAAATTTCATAAATATTCAATATTCATTTATTGCTTTTTCAGAGTTTAATTTCTCACTATTTCAAGTGGTTTTTGTTTCCTACAATCTATCCTCAGACATTACTTCAACAGTAAATATCAAAAAATACAACTCAAAAATCACATTCAACTGCTTTAAAAAGGTTGGAGGTGGGCAAAACAGTGTGTTCAAAGAGGATGTATTTTGTTAAAAGAATCTTTTGATTGTTTTCTTATGTAAAACAATCAAAAGATACATTACAGTTGTGTAATGTTTTGATATTTACTGTTAAAATCATGTTTGAGAAAATTTATTTTAATTTTGCTATACAGTAGCATTCCTTTGGAACATATGATTACTGCCCTATTACAACAAAGAGTTATCGAAATATAAAAGTACTTGGAATAATGAAAAATAGGAACTTAACAAAATACTAGAGTTGTTTTTGTTTGTGAAATATTCAATGTCACTTTATAGTAATAATTATCTCAGTAACTATTAGTAACCCAGGAAAATAAAATAAAGGATAATTAAATCATATTACCTGCTGAAGAATTAAATTTAAATAAACTGTTTCTTCCCAATCAATATCACCATCTCCTATGGGTAATTTTTTTGAGTCTTTGCGAAAAACTTCAATCAACAACTACAAAAGAATATAAGTTTTATAACATACTGAAACTGTTATGTCTAGTATTCATATGTAAAACTGAAAGCAAATAATAAATTTTAGAAAACTATATATGTACTGTATACTCACACACACACTTTCTAAAATTTATATATAAGTAAAATATATATATGTTGTATATTATTATATTATATATATATATACATTATTATTATTATAGCAATCCACAAACCTTTTTATAACAGTGTTGTGTCCTATAACAATCTTCACTAACGTTTTCGACCTCCATCGATCTCAACAGGGCCCCAGGGGTATACTCCATTCCCATCAGGGACGATAGATTCCATAGAGACTTGGTTTACATTGGCACCATCAACACAAAAATGGTTATGTGAGCATCGGATATTAAAAATAACAGACACACCACCGCCTTGTCGGCCTACATTACCAACCCTGAAATTCAGATAGACTTCCAAAACACCAAAGTAATCAGACAGGTGTTTCGTATTGATCACATCTGTCACCTGAAGGCCTGGGAGATTTATAAAGCCAACATTGGAGGCATTTGCATCAACTTCAAAGACGGAGAAACGATCACGCAGGCATGGAGATACTTATTCGAAGAATTCGAACTGGGACAAGTGGAGGGGTGAAACGCGCTTTATTTACATCTCGGGCATCATCATTCCAATGGTCAAGAGGAGACACAGTTTAGTCACCACCTGAAGCAGACCTCGGTGGAGGTCAAAAACGTTTGTGAAGATTGTTATAGGACACAACACTGTTATAAAAAGATTTTGTGGATTGTTGTTACTCAACACAGTGTTAAGATTAGTAGTCATTTTGTGTTAGAAACAAAACTTTAAATCACACTTGATTGTGTATGATAGAAACTCAATCCTATGCAGTATTCTTATCATTCCTTGCCCACTTTCAAACTCTATCAGTTCTTTTCTCTCCACTAACTCTACCATCCTCCCACATCTACTCTAACTCTCTTTCCACACCCTCCCCTCTCTCATTTTTCTTGCCTTTTTTCAACCTATTTTTATGGCTCTTTGTCTACCCTTGTTTATTACTTTTACGACTGCTTGTAAAGGGATTGGATATGGATGACAAGATAGCAGTTGAAGGGGAAGAGTAGGTCCAATATCACTACAATGATTGTATAGAGTGAGCAGCATCCATATTAGATATAAAAAATTGAGGCTACAGACAAAACAGTAGTTTAAAGGCAATTATCCACTCGTCTTTGAGAGAAAAAAGAATCTTCAAGAGATAAAGTTGTCCAGAACATAGCATTACGGAGAAGCAATGATCTCTCAAAACAAACATTCAACCAATCAGAGAGTAGTTTGACATCTCGTCTTCAAGAGATGTCTCAAGACAGGAATATGGTTCTGGATTTATTAGTTCCTTTTGGTATTATTTCAGTAAAAGTAATTTTCAGGTAATCTGTATACAGGGCTGTCAAGAGAAAAGCTAGGGACTTCTACATCCCCAAATTTTCTGAGTTTGGGAATGTAGTGGTTTCATCTATAAATTAATGAAGAAACATTATACGAAAAAAAACATGGCAAAAAGAGCAAGGAGCCTACTCTTATTTCCAGATCAATACACGCTTGCAACACCCACCTGAGCCGTATACATCGTATAATTTTAGGTAGTGCGAGAGTGTATACACACAAATCTAAAATTAACTTCAACCTTTACACCATAGAGTTGGCATACAACCCAGCATAAACATTACATCACACAGAAAATTTTGCATATATACACACATAATAATTGCTTAATAGGATAAAACTTTGATTCAATAAAAAAAAAAAATTCTGTAATTTCTTCCTTCAATAAGGCTCATATTTCATATTTAAAAATAAATAAATAATTTTAATGTTTTAATCACTCACGTGACACAAACACAAAGCTAGTGTAAAGTAACACATAAATCAAATAATTTAAAATACGTCATAAAGAATAATTTTTTAATTATTAATTAAAATTTTTTAAAAAATATAAAACGATTTCCCGTTTATTTTATTAAATTTTTTTTACGAATTTTCGTGTATATTTTTAATTATTCATTTCTAATTTAAAAAATAAAATTAATTAATTGAAAATTTGCTAAGCCTAAGTTTAGGGTTAAGATGAACGACGAATTATAAATAACGCATAAAGGTTAAATCTTACAGGAACTCGATCGGGATACTTCTTTCTAATTTTCTCTCCTTCGCTCCTACGCTTTTCGAACGGATGCTCTTCTTTATAAACGAACTTCATCTTGTTTTCAGCATAAAATCATTTGTTTTTTTCAAAACAAAAACAAACAGAACTTCGTCTGCGTCTTTTTTGATCGTTCCTCGTCTGACGTAACGCACGAGATTTAAATCCCAACGTAGATTTATCCTACCGTCGAATCTTCCGACGTCGAATGTCGAATTATTTACGAATAATTAAATAATATTTTTCTAAAANGAAAGCGTTGGTCTGCTGGTAGCAGTGAATAGGTGTCGAATAGGAAATCCTAGTAGGAGATTGAAGGTTCGATTTTGGTGATTTGGAAATAGGAAAGTCTTGAGTAGAAGAAAAGGTTCCGAGTATTAATTGAGGTGACGGTTAGGATTGATAGTTATAAGAGAATTTGTATCTAAGTTAAGAATTGGATTTTGTTTTGTCGGAATTCCAAGGGGAATAGTTCTAAGTTAGAATAAGACTTAAGTTTGTCGGGTTGATTTGTGATTTGATTTTGATTAATAAATTTGTTGTTTGTTTATAAATCTTGTACATAGTATTGGTTAAACTTGATTAAACATTTATTATTGAGATTTTTTTGTGACTAACTTTGTCCTTAATTTGTTTCGGTGCATGCTAAAAGTCCAGGCCTGGCAACTAACAAACGCAAACCCGCGTAAAGTACCCGTTAGGTCCCGGCTCTAAGAAAAATATCGTTGTAGAGCAACAAATTAAAAATAGTACTTTACAAGATTTATAAATGTGGCTAAATAATCATAATTCAAAGACTTAACATGGCTAATGATATTGCAATAGGTTGCTAAGTTTGTGGATTTTTTTTCTCTTTTTGAATGGTACAGGCACTATATATATATACAATCAATTTATGTGGTTTACAATGTATATACATGGGGGTTTCAAAAAGTAATACCTTTTATTTTTTTAAGCAAAAGTTTAATGCATATGGAAAATACAGAATACAGGCATACCT